ATTATTCTTAATTTTTATTTGCCTAGAAAAAGTTCAAAATAACCACCGGAAATTAAAAAAGAAAAGAGAGAGAGAGAGTTTTGTTTTCTAGTATTAAAAACGGGCGAGTCGAGTCAAAACATTGAGCCATGACCCAGCCTTTCCCACTCGTGACTCACCATTCCCCAATCGCCCATCCAATTCTCACCTCCTGCGTCCCTTCCGTGCTCATCTTTCCATGTGTTTTAGCTTCTTTTGCCTCCAAATTTTCGCAAAATATGTAATTGTGTTGAAATTAATAACCCATACCATTTGACAGCATTTTGGTTTCTGATTGAGGTAAGAGGTGCCCCAAATGCAAATCCTAATCCTATCGGCCATTTGATTTCCATTTCTGTCTATTTTTTATACTATTTCCTTTTCCTTCAATCGGGTTTGGATGGAATAATTTCTCTTTTCAGGGTGTCGGGGTGTATGTAGTTGATATGCAGACAGCAGATTGCTTTAACTTGCAATCTATTAGCTGTTTTAAATTCGTTTTTGGGTAATTTTTTTCCTTTTCTTTTATGTTTTCTTCAAAGCTGGAAAGGGTATATTGTTATTAGCTTCAATTCTTGAGTAACAAAGTGAAACTGAAAGCACAATGCTAGTAATACTTCTTCTCTGCAATATTTAATGCCTCTATGCATCAAAACAACCACACTTTAGCTATCATAGCCTCCTTTAGGTTTAGGTGCATATTGAAACAAACTGACTCTCAATAATCTTTCCTTGTCTTGCCATTCCTCAATTCTACGAATTTCGACCCCATAACTAATTATATTTAAATGCATTTTCTGCTTGTTTAGGAGTCTTTGGGTGTCTGCCACAGCACTCTATGTTTGTTGCTTATTTCGTTTTGGATTACCATAATCTCATTGTGCTTGTCATGCACAAGGCTGAATTAGGTGAACGTCAATTTTGTTATGGTATAGGTTCCTGAATGGTCAAGTTGATGGCTCCAGCTCGCTCCTCTGTGTTTGCTGATCCTGGATGGGAACATGGTGTTCCTCAGGATGAGAAGAAGAAGAAGGTTAAATGCAATTACTGTGGGAAAGTAGTTAGTGGTGGGATATACAGGCTAAAGCAACATTTAGCCAGAGTTTCTGGGGAAGTAACATATTGTGATAAGGCTCCAGAAGAAGTGTTTCTCAGAATGAAAGGAAATTTGGAAGGATGTCGTTCCAATAAGAAATCAAGGCAATCTAACACTGGTGGACATGTTTATTTCAACTTCCACTCTAATGTAATTGAAGAGGAGGAAGAGCGAATCAGTTATAGAAGCAAAGGAAAGCTATTCATGGAAAATAGAAACCCGGGTTTAAACTTGACCCCTCTACGGTCGTTAGGATATGTTGATCCTGGATGGGAACATGGTGTTCCTCAGGATGAGAGGAAGAAAAAAGTAAAGTGTAATTACTGTGAGAAAATAGTTAGTGGAGGTATTAATCGGTTTAAACAACATCTAGCTAGAATTCCTGGAGAAGTTGCACCTTGTAAAAATGCTCCTGAGGAAGTCTATCTTAAAATAAAAGAGAACATGAAATGGCATCGTACTGGGAAGAGACACAAACAACCTTATGAAAAGGAGATACCTACTTTTGATGTGGGACCAAATGATGAAGATGAAGAGCAAGAGGAAGAAGATCATATTCTGCATCAGAAGAGTAAGGAAAAGCTGAAAATTGGTGATCATGGGTTGGGTAAAGATTTGAGAAAGACTTTCAGAGAGCTATCTTCTTCTAGTTGTTCTGAACCATTACAGAAAAAATCACGATTGGGTTCTGTTTTTCTAAAAGGAGTGAGTGAGACTGCACTTTCTTGCAAAAAAGTGAAGGAGAAAATAGGGTTTGGTAAGAAATCTAGCCAGGAAGTTTATTCTGCAATATGCAAATTCTTTTACCATGCAGGAGTTCCTTTGCAAGCAGCAAACTCCCCATACTTCCATAAGATGCTGGAGTTGGTTGGTCAATATGGACATGGTTTGGCAGGCCCCTCAAGCCAACTGATATCAGGTTACTTTTTGCAGGAGGAAATTAAAACAATAAAAAACTACCTTGTTGAATATAAAGCTTCCTGGGCAATCACTGGTTGTTCTGTAATGGCTGACAGTTGGGTAGATACAGAGGGTAGGACATTTGTTAACTTTTTGGCTTCTTGTCCCTATGGTATCTACTTTGTTTCTTCAGTTGATGTCACTTACATCTTAGAAGATGCTTTAAATTTGTTTAAATTGCTGGACAAAGTGGTAGAGGAAGTGGGAGAGGAAAATGTAGTGCAGGTATTAAGGTCTTTTCTTTAATTCTTTAATAATTTCTCAACCTGAATTGTGATGTGGCCATGGCAAATTTTATTTCCTCCCTCTCTTGTTGTAGGTAATCACTGAGAACACTCCCACATATAAGGCTGCTGGCAAGATGCTTGAAGAGAAGAGGAGGAATTTGTTCTGGACCCCATGTGCGATCTATTGTATAGATCGAATGCTTGAAGATTTTCTAAAGTTAAAATGTGTGTGGGAGTGCATTGAGAAAGGCCAAAAAGTTACAAAGTTCATTTATAACAATGTTTGGCTGTTGAATCTTATGAAGAAAGAATTTACCCAAGAGCAGGAACTTCTCATGCCATCTCTTACCCAGTTTGCTTCCAGCTTTGCAACTCTGCAGAACTTGCTTGATCACAGGACAAACCTTAAAAGAATGTTCCAGTCAAACAAATGGATTTCTTGTCAGTTCTCCAAATCAGATGAGGGAAAAGAAATGGAAAAGATCATAGTAAATGTGACATTCTGGAAGAAGGTGCAGTATGTTTGCAAATCAGTGAACCCGGTAATGCAGGTGCTTCAAAAGGTTTATAATGATCAAGGTCTGTCAATGCCCTTTGTATATAATGACATGTATAGGGCAAAGCTTGCTATCAAAGCCTTCCATGACAATGATGCACGTAAATATGGACCATTCTGGAGCGTGATAGAGAATCATTGGAGCTTACTATTCCACCACCCTTTACATACAGCAGCTTATTTCTTGAATCCATCATGCAGATATCGCCCTGATTTTGTAACAGTAGGTTAAACAGTTACATGATTTTTGTGATTCTTTGGCTAATTATAGATTGGAAGTAGTTTCTCATTTACAACAAGAACAACAAATTAAGCCTTTTCCCACTATGTGGGATCGGCTATATGAATCATATAGCATACTTTGCACCATTTTAGGTCATATCTTTAGCTTAGTAAAGATGAGGTCCTTTCTACAGTTTCTTTTCATGTCCTCCATGGTCTACCTATTACAGGAGCATTTTTGCCCTTCTTTTAATACAAACCTTTTACTTTTTACAAATGTAGCATGCAGAAATGGTGCGTGGACTGAATGAATCCATTGCTCGGCTGGAGCCAGACAATGCAAGGAGGATTTCTGCTTCCATGCAGGTATTGCTGTAGCTGCATTGTACCGGTTTCATCTTCTGCAGTTTTCCAAGTATTTTAATGTCTTGATAGATTCTTCTTGTAACATCTTAGATATCTGATTTCAATTCTGCAAAAGCTGATTTTGGGACCGAACTGGCAATTAGTACTAGAACAGAGCTTGATCCAGGTAATGGACTTGGGCTGCTATGTTGTTTGAATGAAAATTTTGAAATGGAAATCTACATGCACATACATTATGCTAATGTGTTACTTTTGACAGTTGTAATATTCTACTAACCATTTCTGTTTCCCTTAGCTGCATGGTGGCAACAACATGGGATAAGTTGCTTAGAGCTGCAACGCATAGCGGTGCATATATTAAGTCAGACATGCTCATCTTCCGGGTGCGAGCATAAGTGGAGCATATATGATCAGATCCATACCCTAAGATATAGTCGTTTAGCTCAGAAAAGACTGAATGACCTTACCTATGTTCATTACAACTTGAGACTCAGAGAGAACCAATTAAAGAAAAGGTCCAACAACTCAGTCTCCCTTGACAATACTTTGGCAGAGCATCTACTTCAGGACTGGATTGCTGAGGCAGAGAAGAGATCCTGGCAAGAGGATGAGGTATCATTCTTTTCCACATTCTCTTCTTACTTGTCAGGTGGTCAGTGATGTGTGACTTACAAATTACATTAAAAGTTTTGATTGAGATAGCTAAGGTAGTTTTGAACCAGGATGCACCATGCCAAATAGTTGATAAATGGGCTCTAGAAGAATAAAGTTGTGGTTAACCTTCTTGTTATTTTATATTATCTTTTCATCCCAGTTGGCAGCATGATTGGTTTAAAAGTAGATACCCTTCGCCAACCTCTTAGTTTTTGGTCTAAAAATTAATCCTCATGGGTGAAAGCTCTCACACAATTGGCAAAATGAAGTTAAAGCCGATTGCCCACATCTAAATTTATGACAGTTTCATTTGCTTACACTGAGTCTCCCTTAATGGTTTATCTGCTCTGTAACTTTAAGTTGCTACTCACTTCCCTAAATTCCAAGTGTTCTATAGTATACTTGCCTTGAATTGGACTTACAAATTGGAAATTTGATGAAAGCCCCTAGTTCCATTTTACTTTTTGTCTTCACAGGAAATCAGGTATGGTGAAAATGGAATGGCATATGAAGACGATAATGAGAATGATAGAGTTGATTATGAAGGTGGAACTCAAGGGGCTCGAAAGGGATCCATGGAGCGCTTGAGCTTGGCTGATGTGGAATCTCAATCTTTGGATATTGATCCTGTCACTGACGATGAAGATGATGGTGATCTCAATTATTACAATGATGATGTGAGCGATTAGTTTGAAATTCTTATGGTTGAAGTCGATGAACACAAAGTAATCAAAGTGTAGAGAAGAGGGCAAATAGATGTTTTGCAGGAATTGTATCCTCCGTGGTAAATTTACCAGGCAATTACATCAAACTATGTAGTTGTTGTGTTCGTGTGTGTCAATTAAACGTAAAATTTTGTAGCTAACAAATGTTGTATGTTATCTCAACCAAAACCAATGTACTGAAATACATATATTCATGGTTGTTAACTAGTAGTGCTGGCAATCGTTATGATTTTTGTGTAATGCAACTGCGCCAGGCGTTTTTCCTTTGCCAGGAGTTTTAAGGTTTGTTGAACTTGAAACTGTATCATGATACTAGTACTATAACTACTAGTATATGTTCATTGTTTATGGTGGGTGGCACTGGCAGTGGCAGATGAGATTAAGGTTGAAGATAAAAATCAAAACGTTTTTGGTTTTACCTCATTATGTTAGCACTCAGAAACAGAGGAGTTGAACCAAAACGTAAATCAGATTATTATTATTAAGTTTTTTTAAAAAATACTATTACTTAAATAAATATTCCTTTATTTATTTATTTTTTTAGTAGTATGCATTTAAATTTTAAAGTTCCGTACCAAGCGACAATGCTTAAGTGCCGGTTAAAACAAGAGCTGCTCCTGTTTTGTTCTCTTCCCACTTCGAAAGACAGACCGAAACCTAGCCGCCACCCAGGAAGGATACTTCTTTCGTGTCTCCCTCTGTTTCCTTATACAGCTCTCCGCTGTTTCTCTTTCTTTCAATTCGTTAATCGATTTGCTTTCTCTGATACCAACAAATGCTAGAAAGCAAGGCGGTGATCGGTCTGACATGGGAGCCCAAACTCCCTGGTTTTTCTTGCCAATCTAAAACCACGTCTGGGTCTGATTCTAAATCCCAGAATAAGCCCCAAAGCTCTGCCCTTTGGAAACCCAATCAAGACCTCGTTGATGGCCTCTTTCTGCCGCCTAGTGATCCTTCGAAGCTTAACAAACTGCTCAGGAAGAAAGTCAAAGATACTACTGGCACTGCCTGGTATTCTTCAAGTTTTCTTCTTTGCTGTTTTTCCTTTCCTTTTTTTTCCATCCTTATCGTTCTTGGGTTCCTCGCACATATCACAATTATTACTTCGGCAGGTTTGATATGCCTGCCCCTACTCTCACTCCTGAGTTGAAGAAAGATCTTCAATTACTCAAGGTGCTCCGCTCTGTGCTATTCCTTTTTTTCTTTAATTTCGTTTCCTGGTGCTAACTTGGTTCTTTCTCGCCATCTCGTTCTATGCTTATTTATGTATTTGTCAATTGTATCTCTTTGAGAAGTTGCCATTTTATACGATGTTGTATCATATTGGATGGTTGTCATGCCATAAATTTTATGTTTGAAATGAATCAGCCACTCAAGATAATTGAATTGATGTTTAGTTTGCATTTGATGTCACTAAAATGTTTTCCCTGGGGGACTATTGTTTTAAGGGTTCTAAATGTTTTACGTCTTTCCAATGGAACCAAATTCCTGCCTTTGACTGCTTGTGTTTGTATATGGTACAGTTGAGGGGTGCCATTGATCCCAAGAGACACTATAAGAAGGATTCAAAATCCAAGGCACTGCCCAAGTATTTCCAGGCAAGTTTACTATTATATTTTTCTAAACTGATAGCATAACATTTTTTTTTTGAAAGTTAAGACTTCATTCATAAATAAAGGAAGTCCATATACAAACAGATGAGAGTCAAAGACTGGAAAGAGCACTTGTCTTGACAGCCTTCTGTACCCTAAACCCAGTCAGCTAAACACATGCACCACACGTCCCAAACAGCCAGCTCTGCATATGAAGAAGAGGTGGTTGACAGATTCAAAATCATTGTTACACACATTACATATAG